ACATCAGTGATCAAGAGGGGTTCAGGTTACTTGGGATACTGAGATTGGGAGAATTGTGGTTCAAGGCCAGCCTGGACAAATAGTTCAAGAGACTCCCATTTCCAAAATAACCAGAGCAAATGAACTGGAGTTGTGGCTCAAGTAGTAGAGTGAGCACCTGCTTTGCAAGTACAAAGCCCTGAGTTCAGACTCCAGCCCACCAAAACAAACAAACAAATAAACAAAGAGAGGGGGTCAGGGACTGGCTCAGTTGGTAGAGTGCCTGCCTACCAAGACCAGTACTACAAAAAAAAAAAAAAAAAAGGGTGGGGGCATGGAATCAGGCTGCTTCTCATTGAACAAAAGAGAGCAGCAACAAGTTTTCATTGATTTTGGGGGCTGTAGAGTTGGTAATTGTCTCTGGGGGCATGATTGCAAAAGGTGTTCTTCTTATAAGCAGCATTCTGGCCTTGAGGTTTTCAGACTAACAGGCAGTGACTTAATCAGGAACTTCTAAGTTTCTCCTGTTGATGACATCATCATCTTGCATAAATGTTCTGGCTTGGTCTAGGCTGGGTGATTAAACTAAGGGACTTTAAGTGCTTGAGTTGCTGGGAAAGCACCAGGGCAGGGTAGAAATAACACATACCCACTCCAGTGGGTAATGGGACAAGTTAACCCTGTATTATAATCTAGATAGAACATTTCTCAAATGATCTACATGTCTACATGGAGAGCTAGGTAGTCTGACTCAATGTTTGAAGCAGCAGAGGAGACAGACACAATGTAAAGACAGAGAAGCCAAGCCTTTTATCTCATTTGAGTCATCCATCAGATATCTATAGGCTGTAGTAAAGAGTCTTTTTTTTTTTTAGCAAAAGTGGTCTTCGAGTTTCTGCAAACTAGCCTCTGTATATTGTTATCACAGTCTAAACATTAGTTATCATAGATAATGGGATGCTAATAATGTTTTGTTCAGTTATGGTCCAAAAATTGATTTTTAAAGTTAGCTAAGAGCAACTGAAGTTAGAGGGCTTATTTAGTTGATTTTTTCAGGAACAATTCGCCCTTGTCTTTGTTGTTTAGGTAGCCCTACTAGTTTTTGCTTAGTCTGGTCAAAGAGGCTGCTACTCTGTACACATTTTGGCCTTGTAAGCCTAATCTGATGTTTTATGCCAAAGCTGTTTTAAGCATGCTTTTTTTTTTTGGTTCTGTTTTGGTGGGTCTGGGGTTTGAACTCAGGGCCTCACATTTGGTAGGCAGGTGCACTACCACTCGAACCATTCCACCAGCCCTAAAACATGCTTTTAATGGGCAACAGGTTAAGGACCCAGAGTTTATTTGCCTTTTGTCCCCCTGTGGCGGTCTCTCTCAGTTTCAAGTGCACCTCAAATTCATTAAAAGCTCCTAAATTTCACCAGTTGTAAGGAACGTCAGTTGTTGCCACATGTTGTAGCAACACCTAGAATTTGGTTTCTACTCCTCTTACTCGGCATTTTCCCTTCCTTCTCCCATGGGAATTGAAGTTTTTGGAATTTCAGCTTTCAGAATTTCAACAGTCAGAATTCTAATCTTTCAGGATTGTGATTATCAGGATTTTATACTTTACGAAATTGTAGATTTTAGGGATTTGGATCTTTGGGATTTCAACATTAAGAATTATGACATTTGGAATTGACTTTTTAGATTTTTTTTGGTGGCACTGGGGTTTGAACTCAGGGCTTCACACTTGCTAAGCAGGTGCTCTACCACTTGAACTACTCCACCAGCAACTTTTGAGATTTTTGATTAGTTCCAGGTACAAGGCATTCTCTCTCAGATTCCTGTCTGGGTAAGATGTGTGACACACAAAGTAAAAAAATTTTTAAAGAGAGTGTAGCTAAGATCATTCTACCACTGATTATAGAGTTTTTAACCAAGCATAATGCCACATACAAGGACATGGTGCAAACTGTTTCCAATCCACTACTCACTTCCCCTTTTGTTACACAATTACTCATTTTTCAGACTGAAAATGTGCATGGATAAATCACTATATTTCCCAGCTTCTTTTATGGTTAAGTGGAAACTTGCACCTAAATTTTGACAGTGAGTTGTGAGTAGAATTTATTGGGTGAATCCACCACAAAGGCTCCTAACAAGGGAGATAGCTGGGCCCAATCTTTTGTCTTGCGGTTTGCACAAGCTAGTCCTAGAAACCTAACTGGGAGTGATGGGAGACTAAGAAAGGACAAAAGACAGAAGAAAAACATGCAGAAAGCTGGGGTCAGGTGGGTGGGCGTTCAGAAGGAAACACACAACAGCTGTGTCCACCTCCAGCGAGTTTATTATACACAGGGGCAAACAAGGAGGTGGAGCAACAGTTCTCAGGGCAGCATGACATTGCAGTTATTGGGAACAAGAGGAACCTGCGATTGCTACTCTGGATGTAAACATCTTAGGAAAAACAGCTCTGCTGCATTTTGCCTTGGCCCCCTTCTGTGGCTGAGGCTGTGTCAACTCAGCCTGCAGATTATTTGACACAGTTGTGCTTATGTCAAGTTCTCATAGGCTTCTCATACTCTGCTCCCCACACTTTTGTCCTTTCCCCTTTCTGGAAAGGAGATTGGATGGCTGGTGCTCTAGAAGCAACAATGAATTATAAGGCAACTCTTTTTCTTTTTTTTTTTTTTGGCAGTACTGGGATTCTTTTTTTGGCAGCACTGGGGTTTGAACTCAGAGCCTCACACTTGCTAGGCAGGCACTCTACCACCTGAGGTAAGGCAACTCTTAAGCATAGAGGATTGATAATTTCATAGAACTATTATCCCAGCCTTGACTGGCCTAAGCCAGATATTTTACACAGGAGGGACTCTTCTGTGTTTAAAGCACTGACTGGATCTGTTACTGGAATATAAATGCAATTAAAAGCTAGCTCAAAATGATTTTGTCTCAACCCACCGTTGGTTGCCATTGGTCACCTCCTCCAACCAATACATAGGCATAGACTATGGTGGGCCTCAGAGTGGCTTAGAAGCCTTACAAAGTTTATCTGAGGGACATGCATATTTCTGATGCCCTGATGTTGCAGAGGACACCAAAGATGGCTGGAGTAATTTGGAACAACTGCCATTTAACTCTTAGAGACATTTGAATTGGGTACTCCTTTCAGAGGCCACCTAAAAAAGAAAATAAAGTCTATTTATTAGGTGAGATAGGCAAAGGGGACGCTTGGTTCTCAATCCTGTATACTCCCACAATTGGGGCAGTCTTCTGGAAGTACACAGCTGACAGATAGGATACTTGTCTTTGGCCATTGCTGTCACTCCCTGCTCCAACATTTTCACTTGTTCTAAAGACTGCTTTAAGCCCCAGAGAATCATCTGTGTGATTTGTTCTCACTTGCTCAAACCCCTTCATACCTGGACTAACTCACCACTGATTTCTGTTGTTTCATCCTTCAAAATGCTGCCCACCTCATTGCCATAGCTAGTACCCTAAAAATGACCCATGGTACCTCTGGCTGGGATTAACTTAACAGGCCTCTGACTAGCCTGCTTCTTGTGATATCAATGCCAGACTACCTCGCTGGGAGAACTACTTTCAGGGTGCTTGAATGAACCCTGGGCCTTTCCCATGCTAGGCAAACACTTTACTACTGAGTTATATCCCAACTTGAATTTCCACTTTCACTCCAACACATGCCCTGAGTTACATTCTCCTGATATCTTTCAACAAGCTCCTTTTTGCCTGAATACATCCTCCATTCCATTTACCCAAAGTCTGGTCATCCGTGAGAGGGCAGCCAAGTGGGAGAGGGTGGTGATGTTGGAAGAAAACACTGGAAACTCTATCCAGCACCTGCTTTCTGCTTCACTTGATATTGTTCTGGCCAATAAAGTCCCAAATCATGTCAATGACCAGGCAAAGTTTCCTTAACTCCTGTATAGAGATAGGGTCTCCCGAACTATTTGCTAGAGCTGTCTTCGAACTGTGATCTCCCGATCTCTGCCTCCTGAGTAGCTAGGATTACAGGGGTGAGCCACAGGGCGCCCTGTACATTTTTTTTTTTTTTAATTGTTGAGAAAACATTCAACTATAGGACAACAGAGGAAAGAGTTCTCTGGAAGACAACTCCTGAGTAGTTGGTTCACGGAAGTCACTCTGAACAAATACACAAAATGTGGTAAGCAGGCTTTAGTGGTCAGAAAGTATGACCTTTTTATTTCCCCTTAGGGAAGTTCAAACTTAATGTCTTGTGCTTGTGAGACAGGCACTGTGCCGCATAAGCCACACCCCCAGTCCTGAACTTTGGGCTTTAATTTTCTGACTTCTTACTTATTAACTGTGTGACAGGGCAACCTGTTTCACCTCCGTGAGAGCTCATCGTCACCTGCAGCGACCACCACCAACTCCAGGAGAAAATAAAATCCTGCGCCAATGTAGTGGCCGCTCATCAGCACTACTGTAGGTGGAGAGTCGGGACAGAGTCAGCCCAGGCTAGGTTTCTATCAGGGCTCCGGCCCGGAGGCCCCAGAGCCAGCTCACTGCAAAGCAAGGTCACTGGGGGTAAGGGCTCAACACCAGCCCTGCCCTTACACCCCTGCTAACGGTCATTAGGCCCTGACCAGCAGCCAGGCCTTGTCTTCTCCAAGGACAGTCACCGGGCGGAAAGGGAGGGCTAACATAGGCACAGACTTTTCTGGTAAAGGCCTCCCAGCCCCGGGCTGCCCCAAAGCTGCCGGGCAGAAGTGCAGACGCAGCAGCCGGGGTCCGGCTGTCCGCGCGGGCGCCGGAGAGGCGGATACAGGGCGGGGCCTGCGGGCCGTACCAACTCTACCCGGGGGGGGGGAGGCGAGAACTTCTCTTGGCGACACGCCGCAGGACTACAGCTTAAAGGCACCGAGGTTGCATACCCGGGAGCAATCCCCAAGCCCTCTTTCGGGCGTCCTCTGGGCCGAGAGCTTGGGGCGAGCGTGGGCGGGACACGCCCCCGCCGACCTCGAGTCTCCCCCCCACGCCGAGTTGGATGCGGCGGGGAGGGGGCGGGGCGACGGCTGCCCTTGCGCGCGGTGGGGACGCCGCTGTTAAAAACGCTCGGCTCCGCGCGAAAGGCAGCTTGCGTTCCTGAGGTTGGGAGGTGACAGCTACACCATGTTGTGCCGGGTGGCGAGCAGGTGAGAGGAGGGACCCGGCGGCGGGACTCGGTCCGGACCCTAGGCGAGGGGGCGCGCAGAGGCGGTGTCACTGGCCGCGCGGGGCTGGGCAGGTCCAGGTACCTGGGCGAGGGGCTGTCGGGAAGGGCTGTGGACGCAGGTGTCCCCGTGCAAGTGTCCCAGGTGACCCTGCGCCGCGGCGTGATGTCCGCGCGTGACGCGGCGTGTGACTCTGTCTCCCAGCGCGGGCCGGAGTTTGTCCCCAGCGTTGGGGGCTCTGGGCTCCCGGCAGAAGCACAGTCTCCCCGACCTGCCTTACGACTATGGCGCCCTGGAGCCGCACATCAACGCCCAGATCATGCAGCTGCACCACAGCAAGCACCACGCGGCCTACGTGAACAACTTGAACGCCACCGAGGAGAGGTACCAGGAGGCGCTGGCCAAGGGTAAGTGCGAGGGCCTGGTGGGCGAGATGCCACCCGGGAGTTTGTACCAGCTCTGAGTTTTCCAGGCACGAAAGACCACCCCACCCTTCCCCAAAATAATGATCTGTCTTGATAGTAGAAAAGCATCGTATTCGGTTTGTATCACCTTTTATTATCTTGGAAAACAGGCCCCCAAAGCAGAACTTGTTTGTGAATTTTATCATTGTAAGTCTATTTTTTTGTTACCTGTATCGCTGGCATTGGTGAATTGCAAAACCTGTAAAGAATGTTGTAATACTTAACTCGTTTTTGCCTGTGAACATTTAAAATTTGCTCTTGCTATCTAATTTTTTCTTTCAGTCCAGAGGTTTGAACTCAGGGCCTTGCACTTGCTAGGCAGGCACTCTCTACCACCTGGGCCACACCCCCGGCCTTTTTCCCCTAAGATTTGTTCTCCTTATGTAATGTGCTCTTGGAAATGTTTGGCCTTTGGGGTAGGTTTGCCAGCTTTTTCCTGGAGGTCTAAAAGAGCCTGCACCACAAGTGGACAGGCTGGGTCACACAAGTGTCCTTGAGTGTCAGGGTAACTCCTGATAGAAGTGGACTGGGGCTTTGCTGTGAGCAACCGGAGGGAGGGGGTGCATGCCTAGGCAGCGGATGGGGGAGGCCAGCTGACTGCCCCCCTTTTCAAGTGCACTTGTAGTCTTGAGCCAAGAGTCTCAGGTAGTGGTCATGCTGACAGTGGGAGACCTGAAGGAGACTGGTAATGGGAACTGTGGTTATTGTCATGGTCCTGGGAATCGGTGGACTAGAGTGCAGCCCCATACTTGAAGATTTTTTCCTGTACCCTGAGCTGCCCCTGCATGGTGACTCGTTTGACTTTAGGTGGGAGAGGAAGAGGCAGGATTAGCAATGTGAAGTTCATTACCAAAAGGCACTTACCTAGCTGTGGAACTGGTCAGACCCCTTTAAATTTGATACTCTCTTCGAGTTAATTTAGGCATCAAAGTTCACAACAAAAAACCCAGCCATTTTGTGGGAAACTGGATATTTGTAATTCAGTTAAAATAGAGGGTGGGGTTAAGTCTTGTCAGTTGACAAAACCAGCAGTATGTGGACTTTTTGTGTTTGTGCCTCTGGGATGTGTATGGAAATTCTATGTTTTAATGTTTCTATACAAAATGACATATTGTCCTTTTAATCCATTAGTAGTTTGCACAAGGAAAATAATTGATAGTCGTGTTTCCAGACTATCTATATTGCTTGATTAGCTATCCAGTAAAATTGCTTACTTCTTAAATGTGTTTTCCTTGAGTTTCAGGCTATAAAATTTGTCAGGTAGTTTTAGACAGTGACATCTGGCTGACTAGGGGCATCTGGTGGGAAAATGTAGTATTTCAGCATAGTTGTGTTTTGAAATGAATGGCTGCCAAACACAGGAGGAAGTTACCACATTCGGGAAGATTTTCTTGCAGTAATTTGATGAACCTTGAGGACGGGAAAAGGCTCCTGATTTAGGAAATAACAAATGCATGCAGGATGTTGTAATGGTGAAGCCAGGGAATGTCCCAGTTGTGAAAGTATTTCCTGAGAGGTAGCATCTGACACCCGAGAACTTTCAGTACTGTAAACAAAACCTTCATTTCAGTTCTGTTCTTCTGGAATCAGTTTTACTGCTTAATGAGAGCCACTGAAAGAAAGCTTTATGTTTCATTGTAGTACTTTTTTGTCAATTGTTAGTAAGTACCTGTAGAGCTTTCTTTTATTAAAATTATAGTTTTGAAATTATTGAAATTTCATATTTAAAAACTTGCAAAAAGAAGAGTATAAGTAAAATAACATAACCTCATCACACATACATAACTAGCATAAATACCTTTCAGCCCCAATTTTTTTCCTTTTCTTTCTCTTTTTTTTTTTTTTTTTTTGTGGCACTGGGGATTAAACCCAGAGCCTCGCACCTGGTAGGCAAGTGCTTTACTACTAAGCTATATCCTGCTCTTTGTAAAATTTTACTTTGAGACAGGATCTCACTAAGTTGACCAGGCCAGCCTGGAATTTGCAGTCCTCCTGCCTCAGTATTGGGGTTACAGGTATGTACCACTGCACTTGGCCTTTACTTTCATGGTATTTAAGCAAAAAAAAAAAAAAAAGCCTGAACTGAAACCAAAGAAAAGGTTGAACTTCATAAAGGGCAGCTATTAACAAAAACTTCTTCTTGTTTTAAGGTCTGGCTATGTAGCCCAGGCTGGTCTGGAACTTGGGATCCTTTTACTGAGTGCAGTGTTTACAGATGTGCTGTAACCAGCTATTAGCCTCCCAAATTTCTATTAAAAATTTAAAATGGTTAAGCATACTCTCAGATGTTGTGATTATTAAATTATCTCAGTAAACATGTTTCTTTCTCATTTAGAAAACTTAGTTACTATTGATTTATTAGAAAACAATGTAAAATCTATTTTTAGGGTGACTCCAAGAAATTAATAAGGGAAACACTGAATTGTAAGGAAATTGTTTTGTAAATATATTAAAAGAAGAAAGAAGTGGGTAGCTAAGCTAAACCCTAAGAATCTCTCCCTATATTCAGCTATTACTTGGTCCTTTCCTTTCTGAATTACTAAACTGGAAATTTGGACTTGTTTTAGAAAGCAACATTTCTTATTTATATAGGTTTTGGGGTTTTTTTGGCAGTACTGACATTTGAACTCAGGGCTTCACACTTGCAAGGTAGTCACTTTACCACTTGAGCTACACTACCATCCCCTTATATAGGTTCTTTTTAAATTTTTTTATGTTATTACTTTATTTTATTTATTTATTTTTTGGGGGACTGGGGCTTGAACTCAGGGCCTTCACCTTGAGCCACTTCGCCAGCTCTTTTTTGTGGTGTGTGTATTTGAGATAGGGTCTTGAGAACTGTTTGCCCAGGCTAGCTTCGAACTACAATCTTTCTGATCCTCTGCTTCCTGAGTAGTTAGGATTACAGGCATGAGCCCCTGGCACCCAGCAGGTTCTTTTGTTAAAAAGTTGGCTTAAGTTTACTATATTTATGGGTAGTACTGGGGTTTGAACTCATGGCCTCAGACTTGTTAGGTAGGTGCTCTACCACTTGAGCCACACTACCAGCTCTTAAGTGCAGAGCTTTTCCAAAACAAAAGCTCTTGAGAACAGAGTCCTCATTGGTTCTCTGTCCTTTACTTTGCATCTCAGAGTCATAGTGCTCAATATTTATTGAACAAAGGAATTTCTATCTTTTCCTAATACTTTAGTTAGTCTGTTTTTTTTTTAACCCCCTTCTTTTGAGATGGGGTCTCTCTGTAACTCAGGCTGGCTTCAAACTTGGAGTCATCTTGCCTCAGCCTCTTAGTACTGGGATTACAGGTGTGCACTTCCATTCCTGGCTTAATCAGTAGCTTCTTAAAGGCATGGAAAAGCTGGTGGAGTGGCTCAAGAGGTAGAGTGCCTGCCTAGCAAGTGTGAGGCCCTGAGTTCAAACCCCAGTGCCACCAAAAAAAAAAAAAAGGCATGGAAAAAAATGATCTTGTTTATGTGTTTAGCAAAGTAGAAAAAAGTCTTTTTGTTTTCAGTTTACTTCAGCCAGTGTTTTGAGACTATCTTCAGTTCAAACACAGCATCCTTTTTAAAAAAAAAACAAAACAAAACTATAAATTAAAGAGAATTTCTTTTTTAGAATTTATATTCAGCATACTCAGTCATCTAGAGAATTTACAAATACTTATGCAGCCTGCTGTGTGTGAGGCAGTAGATGGAGACTTGAGAACACAGCAGTGCGCTGGTACTTAGAAGCTAGCGAGGAGACATGAGCAAGCACATGTGCAGTGTCCTACTGGGAAATAGTGATGGTCTGGGAGGGGTCTGGGAGTTGCTGATTTGTGTGTTCTGACTGCAGAAGGCTTAAGTGATTAGGCTGCTGTTGGAGGAATGGAGCAGAGTGCTCCAGCAGAGGCAGCTGTGAACATCCCTGAGGGAGCTTGCCGAGCTTGCCACCTAGAGCAGGCTGGCCTGCGTGGCTCCTCAGGAACAGGGGCTAGTGACATGACTGTTGCTGTCTGGAGGGTCTTGGGCTGGCCCCAGTGAGAAGGGACACCTTTTGGAAGGAGGGCAGTGGCATTGGTACAGGTGGGAGATGCTGGTGGCAACAGAGCAAGGAGAAGGGATTGGATCCTGGGTGTTTCATGAAGGTGGAACTGGTGGCTGTGCTTGACATACAGTTGATGTGGCTGTTGTGAAGTATGCAAGGAGACAAGTTGAAAATGACATCAGGATAATGTCCTGAGGGACAGAGCTGGCATTCAGTGACATGGGGAAGGCCCTGGGAACAGTAAGTTAGGGGTTGAAATCAAGAGCTCAATTTGAATATATTGAGTTTCTTGTCAATGTCACTTTCAAATATTTCCCAGTGAAGAGTTATGTATCTTGAAATGAGAGTTGAAGTTTTCCATAGACTGTCGACTGAGCCATACATTTTAGCATTATATTACTGTACTGTATTTTATTTATTTCTTTTAGACAGGGCCTCATGTCACTTGTTGTCCTACATGTGGCTAATTGAACTGAGGATCCACTGAGACAAGTAGTTTGGAGAGGGTCCTTTTTTTTTTTTTTTGATAGAATCTGAAATTGCTGTTTTAACGTCAAACAGGGATCTTAGAGATAAGGTGGTGCAATTGTCTAATGTACTACAAAGAAAATAGTGGATAGAGTGTTTAAAGAGTAAGAATTTTAAAATGTGTTTGCATTGTACATTTCAGGAGATGTTACGGCTCAGGTAGCTCTTCAGCCTGCACTGAAGTTCAATGGTGGAGGTCATATCAATCACACTATTTTTTGGACAAACCTCAGCCCGAATGGTGGAGGAGAACCCAAAGGTGGGTATATGTTGATGCAACTTTATTTGTATTTTGTGCACAGTAAAATTGACTGTTCATTGTCTTTTACTTTTCTTTTTTTTTTTTTTTTGGTCCTGGGGATTGCTCCCAATGGATTGTTGATTTTCTTGTTATCTTAATTCTCCCTGAGGTATCGTAGTGGCATTTTTTTGTAGGTGGGCAGTACTGGGGTTTGAACTCAGGGCTTCACACTTGCTAGGCAGGCTCTGTACCAGCCTTTTTGAGCTGCTCTGCCAGCTTTTTTTTTTTGTGTGTGTTGGGTATTTTTCGAGATAGGATGTGGTGAATTATTTGCCCAGGCTTATCTCTGCCTCCTGAGTAGCTAGGATTACAGGTGTAAGCCATTGGCACCCCACCGCAGTGGCATATCATAGCAAGGGTATAACAAAAGTGTAACTTGCAAAGCAAAAGAGTAGGAGTGGAAAACGCATTCACCAGAGTTTGCACACACATGATATCACATCCATTGTCCCTCTTGCTTTACATATTAAGGAAAGACTGACAAACTTGGGTTTTACTTAGCAAAGTTGAACTTGCCATTTACCTAGCCCTAGGACCTCTGGGGTGAGGTACTTAACCGTCTGTGCTGAGCTTGCTTCATTTGTGCAGTACAGCGGGAACAATGGCGCTGATTTTAGAGCAGTGTGTAAAGTGCCTTTGGGTATTATTCTTCCTCACAACAATCACCTGTCCCAGAAAATGAGTTTTTTTTTTTAACTTCTGTTTAACTGCAGCTAATGAGTAGTATCCAGGGGACTTCTTATGTGGCCTGTGGAAGCTTAGATGACCCAAGGGAAGGTGTGGGTCATAGCACAGCTCTCCCACCTCATGTGTGGGCTCCTTGCAAGTCCCCTTAAGTTTCTGTGACTTTGGTTTTTTTTTTTTTTTTTTTTTTTTTTTTTGCAATGCTGGGGATGGAACCAATGTCTCCCGCATGCAGGGTCAGTGCTCTGTCCCCGAGCTACACTGCAGCCCTGATTGTTTTAACCTGTGCTGTACAGACAGCCTTCCTATGCACTGGAAATAAGCACTTCTCTTTGGAGCGATATTAAGTGGAGGAGTAAGGGAGGAGTAAGAGTGGGAAACCGGACAATTTCTTCTTTCTGAGTTAGATCTGCAGATCATGGCTTGTTATTTTTTCGATTTTGTTGGTTATTGGAATATTAGACATATCCAGTTCAACCAGAGGTGCTGGCATTCTCTGCTAATTTGCATTCATTATTTGTATCACTTGTTCCCATTAGTTGCACTTCTAAAAAATGGGTATGGTATGTTAGTGCTCACCTGTGATCCCATCTCCATGGGATGGGAAGATGTGAGGAACACAAATAGTGAGATCCTATCTCAAAACAAGCCAGGCATGATGGTGCATGTCTATAATCCCAGCTATGTGGGAAGCAGAGGTAGAAGGATTGTGGTCTGAGGCTGTTCCTAGGCAAGAGCAAAAGAATCTATCTGAAAAAAATAACTAAAGCAGCACTGGTGGAGTGACTCAAGCAGTATTAGTGCCTGCCTAGCAAGCATAAGGCCCTGAGTCAAACCCCAGTGCTGCCAAAAAAAAAAAAAACTAAAGCAAAAAGGGTTGAGGGTCTGGCTGAAGTGGTAGAATGGTTCCTTCTAAGCACAAGGCCCTAAGTTCAAACCCCAGGACCAACAGAAACAAGAAGGATAAAAAGATTACTTTTTTAGGCAATAGGATAAGGGAAGTGAGATTTTTGACCCTGTTGATTTAGTTGATATACTCAATCTAGAAGTAATTCTATGTTGCTATAGAATAAAAAAATTGAGCTGGGAGTGGTGGCACACAGCTGTAATCCCAGCATTTGGGAAGCTGAGGCAGGAGGAGTATTCTTTCTCTTGCTCTTTTGCAATGCTGAGGATAGAACCCAGAGCCTCATGCATGCCTGGCAAGGGCTCTACCACTGAGCTACACCCCCAGCCCAACTATAGCACCTAAAGTGCACCTTTAGTTCCATAATAAAAGATAGAGTAATTCTTTTTAAGGCAGTATAATCAAGATAGGAAGATCTAGGCTGCTTTGGAGAAGATCTGAGGAAGAGCCATAACTTTTATTCCTAAACAGGGACATAGAGCAAGTAGAATAGAAACCAAGTTAAGGTTTTAACGGGGAAAAAAATAGCCAGTGGAAAACATTTCTATCGTGATGAAAATAGCACAGTGAGTGAAGATGTCCCTCGGTGCATTAAATTACCTTCATTAAAAAATGATAGAAGTTGCCTCTAATCCTGGCTACTTAGGAGGCAGATATCAGGAGGATCACCGTTTGAAGACAGTCCAGGCAAAAAGTTTGCAAAACCCTATCTTGAAAATACCCAACACTCAAAAAAAAACCAAAAACAGTACTGGTAGAGTGGTTCAAGTGGAAGAGTAACTGCCTAGTGCAAGGTCCTCAGTTCAAACCCCAGTGCTGATCCCCTTCCCACTCCCAAAAAAAAGAACATTTGCCAGAAAGTTAAAACTGAAACCTGAGATACTTGTGTTATGGCCAGAGGAACACTGGTATTGTGTTTAGTCACTGGATTAGGTATATTAGCTGTATGTAGGCCAGTTGGTTCTTGGGCTCTATGATAAGAATATTTAAATGTATGTATGTAATATCTTAGTGTAATTGTTGAAATCTGTTTTTTTGGATTTTTTTTCGATAGGAGAGTTGCTAGAAGCCATCAAACGTGACTTTGGCTCATTTGAAAAGTTTAAGGCGAAGTTGACAGCCGTGTCTGCTGGTGTCCAAGGCTCAGGTTGGGGTTGGCTTGGCTTCAATAAGGAACAGGGATACTTACAGATTGCTGCCTGTTCCAATCAGGATCCATTGCAAGGAACAACAGGTTAGCTTTAACAATTGGTACTTAATTCATTTGCAGATGCGGTTTACTGTAGAGCACTTCATCAGAAATAAGAAAAACTAGCAGTGTTTATAATCATGAACATGTAATAATTTGAGCAAATCTTAACAGATGATACCCAGAGTCGGTGTAAGTAAAAATGCCTTTGAAGTCTTTGATATTTTATAAAATAAGCATATGTAATTTTGTGGATGCACTAACAAAAATGCCTTTCTCATAAACTCTGCTTTGTTCTTCAGAGAATTAGTATCAGTTTAAATAATTATATGTACTAAAATGAAAAAACAAAACAAAACAAAAACTAGACAGGCAAGAAGAGGAAAGCTGAGCCTGACTTTGGAGCTTGTGCTCTCGTCTTTCTTTTCTTGAGCACTTGGGGTTAAACCGAGACCAGAACTCAGGTCCCCAGATTTCTGCCTCTTTGGAGTTCTTTGGTATATGAAGATAATTTTGCTTTGAAACTCCAACCTGGGCTCAGTAAAATTTTTTTTTTCCCCCTGTTGAGACTTACTGGATTAGAAACCTTTTTAAAAATGTCACTGAATAGCGTAGGAAGTAGACTCCAAGGTGTCTGAGGGGTAGCTGGACTCTGATCTCTGATACGATGATCTTCAAGGGAGGTCTTAGCTTTATGTAATAGAAGTTCTCTGCAGCTCTCTGCCTCTGCTCTGCCATATATAAGACTCTGCTTCCGTGACTCACTTCCCTGGATGTACTCAGATTTTGCTGGAATGAGAGTTCCTTTGAGAAAGTGAGATGCCACAAGAATCTGTAAAAGCCACAAAAGATCTGTGAGTACCAGATGCCACAGAGTCTGGTGTATTTCTCAAGATACCTGACAGAAAGGTATCCCAGCTACACTTCCTTCTCTCTCACTTGAAGAAAGACCTTGGAATGAAAATTTATGACTTTTTAATTATGGGCACATAATTTGCTATTTATTAATAATAAATTATTGGTGAGATGCCTTACAGGTGCTGAAGATATACTGGTTGAGAATTTTTTCCTAGGAGAGTTTGAGGCTATTTTTTTATTGTTTTGTCTTTGTTGTTTTGAAATATATAGCCCAGGCTGGCCTTGAACTGGAGAGCCTCCTGCTTTAGCCTCCTGAGTGCTAAGATCACAGGCCTGTGTTACCATGTGGCTTGAGGGTTTTTGTTGGTTTTTTTAAAAAGGAATATTTTATAGATAGAGCTAAGTTCTTCATTTATAGCATTTGATTTCTCAAACCAGTGTGTCTTTTTCTTTGGTCCTGCTCAGCTTGGTTGTTAACTTGCTCTTTCTATTAGTGACTCATAACTAGTGCTTACTTCCTAAGACTAAAATTAGCTTTGGGGTACATAGCAAACCCCCATGAGTGCTCAAGCCTTTTGGAAGAGACACTCGGGGCTTCAGCCATCCCCAGACATAGCATGCCTCACTGTGGCTCCCGAGACATCCAAGAGGCTGGGGACTGGCTCTTGGATGAACCTATTGCTGTTTTAAGAACAGGTATTCAAATTCTGTAGTTAATTCATTTTCCCCTATCTATTTTAATTATTTTTACTTTCACATTTTCTTCCAAAGTAGAGTTTAAAATGCTTTTATAAGTAGTGGCTCAAGCAGTAGAGTGCATACCCTAGCAAATATGAAGCCCTGAGTATAAACCCCAATACCACCAAAAATAAACAAAAAAAAAAAACGCTTTTATTTGTTCTTATGTGGATTTCCTATTATATGAGAAACAAATGGATGACTGTTACATGCTAATTTTGTATACATAGAATAATAAAAGTTTAAATTGAGAGCTGCAGTATTTTAGTTTGAAATTTAAAGTTTCTCTTTTTTCCCCATCCTTTCTGATAGGCCTTATTCCACTGCTGGGGATTGACGTGTGGGAACATGCTTACTACCTTCAGTATAAAAATGTCCGGCCTGACTATCTGAAAGCCATCTGGAATGTAATCAACTGGGAGAATGTAACTGAACGATACATGGCATGCAAAAAGTAAAACATTACCATCATACTGTGTTCAGCTCTTTATGACTACTTTTGTAGTAGCATAGAGCATAGAGTACTGAAGCACACTAACCAGCTGCTGTGTTGTAGCATTTATTAATGTTGCTTATCCACATATTTCATAAACATAATGTAATAATCAGTTCTCATTTAAAAATTTTATTATTAGTCAACTGTTTGAGAATAGTAAATGCTCTATGTGATTTAGTCTTCAGCATTTTCTTCAGAGAGTCAAAATTGGTAGGAGGTTATATGGTCCTGATAAAATCATCCATTATATTCCATTCCTATATTTTGGGGTCTGTATGGAAGCTTTTGTTACCCTGTTCTATTGAGGATATAGAAAAATCTAGTCTTTTGCCTAAGTTCAACAGTAAAGTAGAAAACTGATAACCCTTTCTGTTGAAAATTGCTCTTTTGTGAGTCATCCTCAGTCCAGTGATACTTCTGGTGGGTATCACCTAGTGGTCTTTATTTTTGGTCACATATACACATGGTTAACATCATTTTGTCACTTAAAAATCTGTAATTTGGGGCTGGGGATGTAGCTCAGTGGTAGAGTTCTTGCCTGGCATTTGCAACACCCTGGGTTTTATCTCCAGTACTGCAAAACAAACACACAACCCCCTCCCCAATATGACTTGATTGCTAATTGAGAACTGCTGTATGATGAGAAAGAAGTAATTGTGTATCTGAGTTTTTCTGTAAGCAGAGATATAAAAACTTCAATGTGAAGTTTTATCCTTAAACATAGAAGTATGTCTTGTATAGAAGTGCTCAAGATGGGCAAGTTAGGCCTACCTGGTAAGACTACAGGTAGTCTGTGGCTACAGGGAGTAGGCCACAGGGCATTCTGGCCATTTTCCTTTTCAGTTTATATCTCTCACGAGAACAGGGCCATGAGCCAGATGCCACCTTCCCAGGTAGAGGCAGACTGATTTCTGGTTGAGATCACCAGTAGTGTGTCTTCTATAGGGACATTTGTTTTCAAAGACATGTTTTTCACTTACTCTGTGCTTTCTGATTTTTATGTTTTGTTTTCTTCTAGAGAATTTGCAGCCATATAGAAGCTTTATATTGTTTTCAGTAAAGGGAGATTCTTTCCACGGACAGTGACAGCATTTCCGGTTATGTTCCTGTGTAGTTTTTACACATGGAATTACATAGCATTTAAATGTAGCAGGGATCCTTTTTGTATTTGGTTTAACATCATCACACATCTTCACATAGTTTATCATTTCCCCAATTCTCTTTAATGGCTATATCATATTTTCTCAATTGCACATTTCCTGATTTATTTTACGGTTCTGTCATGAATATTTCATTCGTTTCTATTGCTACTTATTACTAACTAGTAAGGCTGCAGTGAGCAAACCCGGCACATAGGTTTTACCTGCTATGGCAATGTTCTCTTTACATATTTTTCTTACACCTGTTTGGTAATATTTTCCAAGTTTATTTTTTACTTTTTGTCCCTCATCTTCATTTTTCTATTTTTTTTTTTTTTTTTTAGGGAAAAATGGAGTAACTTAGCAGTTTCAATATTGAAGACTGAACTTTTTTAAGAAAAAAATTTAAATTCAAGGCACTTTTCTTTTAAGATTCAGTTAAGAAAGTATGTAGGTTTTCCGATTGTCAACACTGTTGATGTGACTGTTGATAACTGTGGGTGAGTGTGTGTTGTTTATGCTTTTGCACTGGAGGACTTTGAAGGCTATGATTACCATCCTTTATGTGCCTCAGTAATATATCTTTCCTTGAGCACAAATGGGAGTCTTGTGGTTACTACTTAGCCTCTATTTACAAGGCAGGAAGCTTGTTTTAAACAAACCTAGGAAAATGGGACCTTCTGAAAGATGGGCTTTTGAATACAAGTTGTCTGCTAGCTCAGGGTTTGTCTTGAACTAACAGAATTACAGAGACTACTAACTTTTATAAAACTTTGACTCCTACCAAAGTTTCAGGTTTCAAAAAATTCAATGTTGAAATTTCTATGGGGCTCTAATTTTTCTTCAGCTTTTGTTGACAGAATTGAGGAAGCACACTATCCTCCACCAAGTTTGTGTCTCCTCTCTGCATAGATGTTCAGAGACTAAGAGAATTTGCAAACTAAAGACCTTAGTCATCTGTTAGAAAATGAGACTAAGATTGTTTAGCCTTGCTTTCCATAATGCAAAAGAAACAGAAACAAGTGAAACCATCATTTCTTCTGAAAAGAAAAAGCGTTGTTCATCCAGGGAGGACTTTTTGTGACCAGACCAGCAGTGCCTGCTCTCGGTATAGTTGTGCTTGAAAAATGTTAGTGTGATTATTGCTGGAGGGAGACAAGGAAGGACAGTGTTTTCTTCAAAATAGTGTCTGTTGCTTGAACTATTGTGTGATGATTAAATTTCATGTTGAGAAATTACTTTATTGTACACCTGAAACCTATGGTCTTTGGTAAGATTTGAATTTCTTTGTGCACCTTTGAAAAAGTATACAATTATAAACCATGAAATTAAGATTGATGTATGTTGTGGGTCATACCTAAAACTAGGTATAGACATAAGTTTTATTTGCTATTCTAATTTCATAGGTATTGCTTTGGGGGAAAGCTGTTAGGTAAATGTTTTGTAAAATACCCTGCTGATCCCAGAGAGCGAATGCCAGTCCTGTCCGCTAAGATGCACCAAATCTAGTGTTCGCTGAAAGTCCTGAAAGGGTCCTGAAGAGCTTTCATTTCATTATTCACGAAAGAAACATTTTCTTATTGTAAGTGTGAAGTTTTTTGTTTGTTAATAAAAAAATCTGTCAACCATCAAAAGAGGCCTATGTGGTGCATGTGTGTCAAAGCATGAATCCTACTTTTCTGTGGGGAAGGAATAATAAATAATAGGCTGTTGAAATCTTACTCTTAGAACCCAGAAGGCAGGTGAACCATAGTCATATCTGTAGTAACATCACTTACGTAAAAGCGTGTAGTAAGCAATATTAGCGATATAGAAAAAAAGCACAATACTTCTGGCTTAGATTCTCCTGCGGATACCAGCCAGGCACTCTGTAATTCACTCTGACACTGTCTAACTGGAGTTAGAGTCAAACCTCACAGACGAGGGTTCAGTCCCACAAGACTGTTCCCATTCAGGTTCTAGTTTCAAGTCCCAGGTATGATCTGTACTTCATACTGTCATCTGGCTGTTAATCGGGATCCCCATGACTCCAAACTTGGGTTTGATTAATTTGTTGGAGTGGCTCACAGGACTCAGGCAAACACATTTTTGTAGGGCTGTTACAAGGGGTGCAGATGAGCAGCTACACGAGGAGACAGGGTGAGGAGGTGGGGCGGCATGGAAGCCCTGAGTATCACTCTCCAGGGACCTCCAGATATTCAGCTATCTGGGTGCCCATGTAAATGCTCCTTTCTGGAGATTTCATTAGTAGGGGCAGGTAAGTACACCATTGGTCATTGGTACCTGGAGACTGAGGGGGTGACTCTGAAAGTCCCAGCCCTTTAATCCTGCCTGAGTCTTTGGTGACCAACTCCCATCCTGAAGCTGTCAAGGGCCCCCAGCCACCATTCATCTCAACATACAAGAGGACCCTCTCCCCACACAATATTTGCTAATTGTTGAAGGAAACTCCCTCAGCCCACACACTCACCTCCCTTAGTTCTGGAGCAAGATGCTCTTCACTGGAGATTCCAAGTGCTTCAGGAGCCCAGAGTCAAAGCCAAGGATGAAGACTAAACGTACTTCCTAATGTAAATCGTGCTATTGAGATACAGTATTTTATAGCATTAGCTAAATATAGAATATTGCCTTCACTCTGGAAAGAAAAAGTAAAACTTCTGTCTCAGATGCGTTTTACACAAAGTTCTGGACTGGTAGCATTTTATTTGCTCTACTGCTTGCCTTTTTCCCTAGAGGACAAGTATACTGTTCTTGGAAAGGGAATTGAGTTTGGCATGACCTGTTCTGTGATGTCATGCTGTCTAATAGACGTGTACTTAAGCTAATTACTGTTGTTAAGATACTTGTGGAACATTAAAAAGGTGTCTCATCCTAGTTTGTGAAAGGGAATGAACACAAATGCTTCCCAATTCCTGTTATGATGTGGTCATTGTACTTTTAATGTGCGTTTATTGCATCCAGAGTCTTCATGTGCAATACCATGGTCATTTCACATATGTCCCTGTGGCCACTAGCACAAGTATTCTCTGAGGGCCCAGAACATGAGGCTCTTGCTCACTTGTGCATCTTTGGATCTGAGCGTGTGAATCTGGACCAGTACACAAGATGTGATTTATTATATTTAACACAATATGAATAAACTGTCCCTCAGGCTCAGAAGTTAACATGCCAAAACCACAAAAGTCACTTGGAGCACATGTGTGGACCTCTCCCCAGATCCTGCAGCCCCTTCCAGTGAAGAGAGGCAGTCTCCTGTCCCCCTGGACTGTGTTCTGTCTGTATAGTGTCCTCACTTCTCCATCTACACAGGTTGCTCCAGTGGGTGTGTTTTTTACATGAAGCAATAGAAGTACGAAATAGTTTTGTTTTGTTTTTTCAGTATTTAATGTGTTCCATAAAAACCCATTGGCAACTCCCTTCCCTCCATTTAAATTCTTTTGCTTTTACTTGTTTGTGTTTTTGTTTTTTGCCTCATGTCCAAGGACTCCTAAAGAATTAGCACAGACACATTCTGTCGTTAAGTAAAATAGTGAGTCTCGGTAGTGGTAGCGGGCATGGTATTCTGTTGTTAAGAAGAATGTGTGGAGTTAGTCGTGAATGTTCAAAGTGCTCGAATCCTGCTTCATTTCACGTGGCTGTGTCTACATGATGACAGACTTTCGGATAAAGCTGTGTCTAGTGTCATTAGTGCTAGTGTGCCCCACATTAGTGTCATTAGTGCTTCAGTGTTGGCCCCAACCATCCTTTCCTTTTAAGCTGGGGGGAGGGGCATATAGCAGCAATCATCAACCAATGGGATCCACTTAGTGGTGAGAATCCTAGTCTGACCACACCACTGCAG